AGAGAAAAGAGAAAACATCAACTCCATCTGTTATCTACAAAAACAAAAAAGCGAACGAAAAATGCTACAATTGTTCATACATAGAAGTTTGTTTGTAACTTTACATTGAGATTGTAATGTTTGGTGAATGGTAATGTGGCATGGCGTTGGAGGTGGCGGTGGTGGCTGGTGGTTGGGGGTTCGATGTTGCTTGTCGCTTGTCTTGTTGTAATAAGTCATTGCTCGAATATGGGTTACATGGAATCTATGGTATACCCGGCGAGAGCAAAGAAGGCAATGCATTGCTCCGAACAATGTAGCAGCAACTTAACTCTCTGCCCATAGTTCAGAGTTAATATGGCTGCTGCTGCTGTTGTCTGTGACAAAAGAAGCCAAAAAGGAAAACTAGCGCAAAAATATTGAAAGCCATGCCATGCCATAATACCCGGAAATATAATTTCATTTAGAGGCAAAAAAAATGAAAACGAACATAAAAATAGAGTAAATGCAAGCATTTAATAAGCGTTTGTGTGAAGGGAGATACAAACGGCATGCCCTGTTCGTTAGAGATGTAGAGCAGTAATAAAACTTGTTAGAGCCTTTGTTTTTTTCCTCTAAAACAAAAGTAAAATGGAAAAAAATTGGAGCAAATATTTCAAATGTCAATTGTTTTCGCTTAACATTTGGGAATTGTCAAATTGTATGTATGTGAAAAAAAAGAACTCGGGTATGTAAATATTTGAAAATGAAGGGAATCTAATTAAAGAGAATTTTTTTATTGCAAATTCAAATAAAATCTGATAATGATGAATAATAGATATATGTTTCCGAAGGAATATCGAACACAACAAGTAAAAAAGCAGCTAAGTTCGGCCGGGCCGAACTTTTATAGCCTCCACAATTTGGATGAAACTTGAAAAATCTCAAAACGAGACCGCCGGAAAATACCGCTCAAATGAAAACCGTTACATGGGGGCTATACGAATACATGGTCCTGCATAAGTAATTTGTATTATTGGCTGTAGTAACTGTTCCGAAATTTATAAAAGAAATTTGAAAAAATTTGAATAACGTCGCAAAAATTCTCAAAATACCGAATATCGGGAGGAAATGTTATATAGGGGATATAAGATATTGGGGACCTATATGGACAATTCTCTTCCTGGGGGGTAATGTAGTCACAAGGAATTTTGTGGATTTTAAGACAATCCATAATTGTAAGTGGCCTTCGAACGGCCAATGAAACCGTCACACGGTGCCCGAATGTTCCTGTGCGGTATTTTGGCCCATTCACGGCGAAGCGCTTGCTTGAGGTGATCGACACTTTGGTATTTTTTATACCCTACACCACAAGGTGGTCAGGCAGAAGGAAACGAGATTGACCCATAGTTCCTTTTGATGATCTGCATAGAATCACATTCTGAGTCGATTTATGCATGTCCGTCCGTCCGTCTGTCCGTCCGTCTGTCCATGTATTTTTGTAAACAAAGTACAGGTCGCATTTATTGTCCGATCCAGATGAAATTTTGCAAAGATTTTTTGTTTGGCCCAAGGACGAACCCTATTGAAATTGGAGATAATCGGTCAAAATTTAGATATAGCTCCCATATGTATCTTCATCCGATTTGCTTTTTATTGTGCACCAAACGTGTAATATCAGCCCGAATTGTATGGAATTTTGCATATACACACAAATTAGGCCTGAAAATAAGTATGCCAAATTTGATAGAAATCGGTTCAGATATAGCTATAGCTCCCATATACATTGTTCATCCGATTTGTTATTTTTGTCCACCGCCGCCGTAATATGCAATCTGCAACAACAATATTTGGGGAAATATATCAAATACAGCTCAGAAATACATTTGCTAAATTTTATCGAGATTGGTTCAGATTTGGGTATAGCTCCCATATATAACTTCGTCCGATTTACCTTTTATTGTGCACCAAACGTCTAATATTTGTCCAAATGGGATGGAATTTGGCACATACGACCGAATTGAGTCTAGAAGCTAGTATGTCAACTTTGGTGAAGATCAGTTCAGATATAGCTATAGCCTCCATATATATTATTCATCCGATTTGTTATATTTGTTACCCACAACCGTTATATGCACTCCGTAACAACGATATTCAGGGAAATATATCAAATACAGCTCAGAAATATCTTTGCCAAATTTTATCGTGATCGGTTCAGATTTGGATATAGCTCCCATATATATTTATCCGATTTCAAATTAATTGTGCACCAAATGGGCAATACAATTCCGAATTTAAAATATACAAATGCTTCGGCATATTTAGTCCTTTGAACTTTAAATTATAATTATAATCATAGCGTGTATGATTGCATTCTCCCATAAAAACTTTTAATTGTTATGTGGAGCTCTACTAAATTAGCAAAGTGGTGTAGGGTATCATAAAGTCGGCCCCGCCCGACTTTAAGACTTTCTTTACTTGTTTTTATTGCAAATTCAAATGAGATCTGATAATGATGAATAATAGATATATGTTTCCAAAGGAATATAGTACACAACAATTAAAAAAGCATCTAAGTTCGGCCGGGCCGAACTTTTATACCCTCCACAATTTGGATGAAACTTGAAAAATCTCAAAAAGAGACCGCCGGAAAATAATTAATAAGTAATTTGTATCATTGGCTGTAGTAACTGTTCCGAAATTTATAAGAGAAATTTGAAAAAATTCGAATAACGTCGCAAAGACTTTCAAAATACTGACTTTCGGGACGAACTGTTTTATAGGGGATATATGATATTGGAGACCTATATGGACAATTCTGTTCCTGGGGGGTAATGTAGTCACAAGGAATTTTGTGGATTTTAAGACAATCCATAATTGTAAGTGGCCTTCGAACGGCAAATGACCCCGTCACACGGTGCCCGAATGTTGCTGTGCGGTATTTTGGCCCATTCATGGCGAAGCGCTTGCTTGAGGTGATCGACACTTTGGTATTTTTTATACCCTACACCACAAGGTGGTCAGGGTATTATGTCTTTGTGCATTTGTTTGTAACAGGCAGAAGGAAACGAGATAGACCCATAGTTCCTTTTGATGATCTGCATAGAATCACATTCTGAGTCGATTTATGCATGTCCGTCCGTCCGTCTGCCCGTCCGCCTGTCCATGTATTTTTGTAAACAAAGTACAGGTCGCATTTATTGCCCGATCCAGATGAAATTTTGCAAAGATCATTTGTTTGGCCCAAGGACGAACCCTATTGAAATTTTAGATAATCGGTCAAAATTTAGATATAGCTCCCATATATATCTTCATCCGATTTGATTTTTATTGTACACCAAACGTGTAATATCAGCCCGAATTGTATGGAATTTTGCATATACACCCAAATTAGGTCTGAAAATAAGTATGCCAAATTTGATCGAAATCGGTTCAGATATAGCTATAGCTCCCATATACATTGTTCATCCGATTTGTTATTTTTGTCCACCGCCGCCGTAATATGCACTCTGTAACAACAATAGTTGGGGAAATATATCAAATACAGCTCAGAAATACATTTGCTAAATTTTATCGAGATCGGTTCAGATTTGGATATAGCTCCCATATATAACTTCGTCCGATTTACCTTTTATTGTGCACCAAACATCTAATATTTGTCTAAATGGGATGGAATTTGGCACTTACGACCGAATTGAGTCTAGAAGCTAGTATGTCAAATTTGGTGAAGATCGGTTCAGATATAGCTATAGCTTCCATATATATTATTCATCCGATTTGTTATATTTGTTACCCACAACCGTAATATGCACTCCGTAACAACGATATTCAGGGAAATATATCAAATACAGCTCAGAAATATCTTTGCCAAATTTTATCGAGATCGGTTCAGATCTGGATATAGTTCCCATATATATCTTTATCCGATTTCGAAGTAATAGTGCACCAAATGGGCAATACAATTCCAAATTTAAAAGATACAAATGCTTCGGCATATTTAGTCCTTTGAACTTTAAATTATAATTATAATCATTGCGTGTATGATTGAATTCTCCCATAAAAACTTTTAATTGTTATGTGGAGCTCTACTTAATGAGCAAAGTGGTGTAGGGTATCATAAAGTCGGCCCGCCCGACTTTAAGACTTTCTTTACTGGTTTAGTGCTAACCTTGTTTTCCGGATTGGTATCCGGAGATTTTGGTGGCCATTGTGCGTTGGAAATGAGGCAAGAAATCTCATTTGGTAACCATTCTTGGGTTGCGCGTGTTGAGTGCGATGATGCTTAGTCCTGTTGGAATATCTAAGGTCTGCGGCCGAAATGTTTGCGTGTCCTAGGCTTTAATACACCCTCCAGAATATTTTCGCGATAATATTTGGCATTTATTCTGATGCCACAGTCAATTAATAGGGCGGAGAGCGACAATCGGCTGTAATGGCGGCCCACATCATCACCATGGCGGGCGCTTGAGTTCTGGTGGCCAACCGAAGGTGCACATTTTCAGCTGACCTCTTTGGCAATTAAACACGATAATTTTGTTTGTTTACAAACTGCTGGACAACGAATGTTTTCTCGTCGTAGAAAACCAAATTCGGCAGTTCACCACTTTCGGCCAAGCGAAGCAACTCTTTAGCTCTTTTGAGTCTATTTTCTTTCTGTTGCTGTGTGAGTTCGTGCACTTTTTGGAATTTCATATAGAATGTTTGACTTGAGGCTAATATAAGCAAAATTTTCAAAAGGGGTCCCTTATAAAACATTGACAATTTTGTTTAAACAATCACATTGTCATTTTATTGCAAAACTTGGAGAATATTTTTTTAATAACTACTAATTTGTAATAATTATATTATTATACATGCTATTTTATAACTTTGCTTATGTAGTTACACTTGGTTTTTTTCGTTTGGTATTTAAATTCAAAATGGTGATTGGTGTAGTTAATGCAATTAGGCAATGCTTGAAAGAATCTGCTTCAATTGAAATTTCCGTATTTTTCTCTCTTTCTCTTTTCTTTCTTTCATTTTCTTCTCTTTTTGCCATCTAGGTTTGGGTAATGAACATTTCTGGATATCGGGTACCGATCTAGCCGATGAGGGTAGCTTCTTCTGGATGGCCACCGGTCGCCCGATTACCTTTACAAATTGGAATGCTGGCGAACCGAATAATTTCCGCTATGAAAATGGTGAAGAGGAAAATTGCATGGAACTGTGGAATCGTGATGGCAAGGGTCTGAAGTGGAATGATTCACCCTGTAGTTTCGAGACATATTTCGTGTGTGAAGTACAACCCTAAGTATGGATGAATAGGTGGAACCACAACGACTACTACAACAACCACAACAACAATGGATTTAGGATAACAAATTTTAAGCGAATTAAGAAAAAACAAAACGAATTGGCAAGAAAATAAGTAAAACAAAAAAAAAAAAAAAAACATGGATAGTAATTTTTTAGCTCTCTTTTTTTAGGCTTTTTTCCATATTCCATAACGCTAGTGGCTTTCACAAATGTCCTTTACATTTCATTCAACAAATGCATTTGATTTAGTTTAGTTGGAGAAAAATATTGCAATTTTTAATAATTTGCTTAATTTTTAGTTAAAATGCATGCATGCAATTAAAGAAAATGATAATCTCTCTCTCGCTCACACGCTCTCTCTGCCACTGAATCACAACAACTGATAACAATAACTCACTTACTCACAAATACATGCATAATTTACACATATTGTTGCTACCACAATTAACACAATGACGATGTCGACGAAGAGCTTTGAATGACAGAAAGAAGTCTGTGCGTAGTTTATTTTTACCAAAGGATTTGTTTGGAAATCCTTACAGATTTTAGTGATACATCCGACCAATTGACCGACCGACCGCCCGCCCCTCACTCACTCACAATACAAAAACACTATCATATGTTGCTTTTCATGCCTCTTCATTTGTAGGAATAGTTTAAAAAATGAATGAAGAAGAATGTACGTATTTTTTAATCGTTTTTTTAGTTTTTTTAGTTTTAGTAATTAGTTATAATTATTTATGTTTACAACAAAAAGACAACAATCTAAATGTTCAAACAAATGATATTGTTTAGTAATTAAAGAAAGAAAATAAAATGTAAATAAAATTGAAAAAAAAAAAAAAAACAACAAAAAATATACATTTACAATTCATTATTTTGGGAGCTGGCCAAAGGTCGCAAGAGACATAAGTTAGATTTCATGAAAAAACAAACAATCCTTAAGATGAAACGCTCCAAGCAGGCTATGTATTGAACTAGATACATTATAGTTATATATTCTAAAATGAACCAGTAAGGAAAAGTCAAAAGAAGGGCAGTACCGACTATATGATACCCTACTTCACTATGCATATCTATTAGAGCTCCCGTAAGAAAAGAATTTATTTCAAGCAGATCATACCACCTATCAACATTTGGCTTTAGAGCAGTTATAGTTTGCTATGGAGTGTATGATATCACTTTGAGAAGGATTATATTAAAAAAATATAACGGAGCCGAGTTGCACAAAATGGAAACGTACATCCCGAAATTCACTCCTTTTGGACTGTTATTAGCCATTATTTGCAAATAAACGTGAAATCGGGACGAATTCGATATACTTGCTTCTAGACTGAATTCAGGACTTTTGGACCAATATTAGTTGAAGATATATATAGGACCTATATCCAAATCTGAACCGATCTTGACAAAATTTTATATACTCATTTCAGAGCTGTATCTGGTACCAAAGATCACTGTTATGGAATGCATATTACTTTAAACCCCAAATCGGACAAAATATATACATGGGAGCTATAGCTATATCTTAACCGATATACACCAAATTTAAAGTACTGGTGTATATTATGAATTTAGTCGTAAATGCCAAAATTCAGTCCATTTGGGCTGATAGTAGCCATTTGGTGCACAATTAACCTTATATCGTATAAATATATATATGCGAGCTATATCCTAATCTGAACCGATCTCGATAAAATTTGGCAGAGGCATTTTTGAGCAGTATCTGATATCAGGTACTAATATCATTCTTCTGGAGTGAGTATTACGCATATGAGGGATTTAAAACCACAAATCGGATGAAACATATATTTGGGGGCTGTAGCTATATCTGAACCGATTTTCTCCAAATTTGATTAACTTATTGCTAGACTGAATTCGGTGGGATGTACCGAAATACAGGTCATTTGGACTTATATTGGTCATTTAGGGGACATTTAACCCGAAATCGGTTGAAGATATGTGGGAGCTATGTCTAAATCGTATCTGATTATCACCAATTTCAAAATTTTTCCTAAATAGTCCACATTGATCAGTCCTAACGTTGGTCTAAAAATCAAACTGTTGGAACTTGAAGTTATACTCATAAAAAATCCGAATTAGTCATTGAACACACATTCTTAAAAGTTCCATCTTTGGTCCTTGGAAGAATGTATTTCGAATATTTTTTAAGACCATGAGTGCTTTTCTAAGACTTAAAGATTGAAGTATTTAATCTTGAGGTCTTAGAAAAGCACTCATGGTCTTAAAAAATATTCGAAAAACACCAATTTTGGTTCTTGAAAAAATATTCTAAAAAAGTTCAACGGCTAGTCCTTGCAAACATATTTGCAAAAAGGCCATGTTCTGTCCATTAAAATGTATTCTAAGAAAATCTCTTTTGGTAATTTGAGGAAATATTGCATTAAAGATCATTTTTTGTCTTTAAAAAAATATTTAAAAAAACTCAATTTAAATCCTTTACCATCTATCAGTCTAAAATCTACTGTTGTCCTTGAAAAACATTTCAATGGAAGAAATGTTTCCTGCCTTGAAAAAAATATTACTCAAGAGCCTTCATAGACTTTTGAAAAATATTCCAATAGCGTCTATTTTGGTTTTTGAAAAATTTTTTTAAAAAAGTTCAACGGTTAATCCATCAAAAAGACCATGAAAATTATTCTAAGAAAATCTCGTTTGGTAATATTGGAAAATATTACTCCTAAAATCAATTTTTGTCCTTTGAACAATATTTTTAGTAAAATCATGTCAAAAAGTATATTTAGTTCATTTAACATCTATACGTCCAAAGTCTACTGTTGTCCTTGAAAAAATTTTCAAAGGAAAAAAAATTCCTGCCTTGAAAAAAATTACTCAAGAGACCAAATTTCGTGTCTTTGAAAATATTTGATCCCAGTAAAAATACTGTTAAAATGTGGACAGTTGGTTCTTAAAAAATATAATCGAAAAATTTTAGTTTGGCTCCTGAAAAATATTTATAAAATATGAACATTTGGTCTCTTAAAAATATTCTTACAAGATCTTTGAAAAAATATTTCAAAAAAGTCAACGCCAGGTCCTCACGAAAATATGTTTTAAATGTCGAATTTCCTTTCTATGTTTTTCGCCTAAAATACTCCTAAAAAGGACACGTTTGTTTCTTAAAAAAGTTGTATAAAAGTATGTACTCATTTCTCAAATATCGGGAGGTGCCGTTACATGAGGGCTATACGAAGGCGTGGACCTGCACAGACAATTTTCTGTAATAGGCTGTAGTATCCATTACGAACTTTCAAATACCAAATTTGAAACAATTCCGGTGAATAATATCGCTAAAATCATTAAAAAATCAAATATTGGGAGGTGCCGTTATATGGGGGATATACAAAGGCTTCGATCTGCACATACAATTTTCTGTCATAGGCGAACCATTACGAACTTCAAATACCAAATTTGAAACATTTCCGTTGAATAATGTCGCTTAAATCATCAAAATACCGAAAATAGGGAGGCACCATTATGTGAGGGCTATACCAAAAAGTGGACCTACATCACCCATTTTCAATACCAAAAGTCCTGCAGACATAACACATATTTGAGCAAAATGTTATCAACTTACATAATTTCGTTCTGAAGCTAAAGTGTGTGGTCTAAAATGTATATTTCGTTGTTTTACAAACGGAATGACAAATTTAATATACCCTCCATACTATGGTTTAGGGTATAAAAATCATTCTCAATATCCAGGTTTAGTGGCTCAGCTGTCTCTTATGATTCTATTGTCTTTGGGAAAATAATCTTAAAAATCCGCAATTCAAGAAATCCTATGAGCCTAGAAAAAAATTCTTAAAATTCGATTATTGGCTATGAAAAATACTCCTAAAAGTCCTTGGAAAAAATAATTTAAAACAAGCTATCAGAAAATTGTCATGACGTGTCTTCCTCTTAAAAGTATTTTCGTGATCCATGGTGGCTCTGAATGTTCTTTGGAAAATATGGGTTGATTTGTTCTGAAAATCTTCGTCTAGTGGCTCTAAGGTTAATCTTTAAATGATTGTTAGTCTAGACATACACTATAGTAGCTTCCAAAGTCACCTATTAATTATTTTCCCTAGAAACACCATTGTAGCTTTATATAGTCCCACATTTTTTTTTTTTTTTTTTTCAAAAATCCATAATAGCCGTCACAAATAGTTGTAGGTCCTATAAAATCCACGACAATAATCCCTTTAAAAATACAAACTCATTGGTAATTTATTCTTAAATATATTTTTATTTCCCACAGGTCTACAAAATGAACACTTCTGGATTTCCGGCACTGATTTAGCCGACGAGGGCAGCTTCTTTTGGATGTCGACGGGTCGTCCAATTACATTCATCAATTGGAATGCCGGCGAGCCGAATAACTATCGCTACGAAAATGGTGAAGAGGAGAATTGCATGGAACTGTGGAATCGTGATGGCAAAGGACTGAAATGGAATGATTCACCCTGTAGTTTTGAAACGTTTTTCATCTGTGAAGTTTCCCCCTAAAACTAAAAAAAGTTAAAATTAAATGTTATAATTAAGATATGTATTATTAGAAATTTATATAAAATGTAGAAAAATAAATTTTCCATAGAGTTCAAATTATCAAAATTAAAAAGAAGAAAAAAAAAAAATAATTGCAAGTGTAGTTTTTTGGTTAAAACATTGAAGATTTTTTCGAGATAAATAATGATTGACACAAGTTAAAGTTTATTTGTTCGTATTTAGTTTTTTATTTAAGTCGATGAAAACAATAAAAATGTATAAAAAAAAATTATTTCAATTTATTTAATTGTAGTGGAATTTTAACGTCAGATTAGTAGCTCAACCCGAAAAAGACAAAAAATTATATAGGTGTATGATTGAATTTTACTGAGTAAGTTTGCCCAAATGTAAACGTTAAAAATAATAATAATAATAATAATAATAATAATAATAATAATAATAATAATAATAATAATAATAATAATAATAATAATAATAATAATAATAATAATAAAATTAATAAAATTAATAAACAAGTAAGCAAAGGCTACAGTCGAGCGGGCCGACCGTTGAATACTCTACAACACTATAATAAACCATACAGTTTATATAGGCGAAATACTCGACAGAATTCCACAAGATATTGTGACAAATAATAAAAGAAAACCATCAGGTTTCGTTCTCTAATTTTCGAATAATAGCAACTTAAACTAATTTGCTCATTTCCAATTTATTGGTAGATGTTGCACTTAAATGGTCTTCCTAGATCTGGAACCAATATTTCCCAAAGACCTATAATCTCTCAGAAGTGGGAAAAAATTAACATTTATTATTGGTTTTTGACTGAAACGCATCTATATGAGATACAGACATTTGACTATATTCTTCAACGAAATCAGCGTTAACGAAATAGTCGGAAGTGCGTCTTTCCTGTATTTGTGAATTCTCCAAAAAGTCACTGGAATGGACATTTTCGTATTTTGTCTACAAAAGTTGGCAAACTCCTTTACACATTGAATATTTTTGGATGGCCATCCAAAACTGTTTGGCTTTTGCAATGTCCGGTAACCCCCATTCAAATGTGCGTGAGGATCGGGCGATAATTACGACCTGCTGACAATTTTGCAGTTTTTTGGTCCATTTCAACCCCTAAATATATGACGATCATCTCCGAAAAGAGTAGGCTTCTATTCTGATCCTCATCTTATCCCCATGCAAAATTTCGTAAGGATCGGGCCATAAAAGCGATCTGTATATGATATCCTGATATCCTAACTACTTAGTTTTGTTAGCTGTAGAAATATTACCAAATGTTTAATTCAAAATGAAAATATGCCAAAAATATGACAAAATGGAA